CAACTCGGAAGTTAGAAAATTCCCAAAGCACAGATTGATGCTGACACATTAATTCTGCTGCTTATACATGCATAACGTTTTCTGTTTTTGTTTTCCTCTGTGAAATGTAAGCATTATTAATTTATAATAAAAATACAAGATATATACCACAGCCAAAACAATACTTTAAAAAAACAACTTGATAATGATGATAATGGCAGATGCATTCATAGATTTTAGGGCCAAAAGGAGCTACTCAGGTCTGCTAACCTCCTGCATAATACAATTCTACCTATTATTCTGTAGTTGAGAGAATTCTTCTACTCAATGGGTCTATCTACACTACAGGACAAAGTTAAATTAAGATATGCAACTTCAGCTAAACTAATTGTGTGGCAGCTTCAATCTTCCTCTGTAGTGTAGATGTACCCTAAGTGGTTGCTCTAAAGCCCAGTGACTTGTCATTGAATTAATAGAGCATCTCTTTCTTAGTGTATGTCCAAACAGTGCCGCATAGCTTGAAATAAGCTATGCAAATTCCGTAGCTTATTATCTGCACAGTGCCAAATTTCAAAATAGACTACTATTCTGACTAGTCCCTTAATCCTCATGGAACAAGATTTCCTGGGACATCAGAATAGCAAGCCCATTATTTCAAATATATTTAGAAATAATGGGCTTGTGGCTAAGATGTGGAAAATGCTATTTCAGGATACTGGACTTTCTTGTGGCTAAGATGTGGAAAACGCTATTTCAGGATACTGGACTTATCTTGAAATAGCACCACTGTCTGGACGTACCCTTAGAAAGATATCCTATCTCTGTTTAAAAACTTTGAGTAATGATGAATTTATCACTTTCCTTTGAAATCTGGTCAAATTATTAATTTCTCTCTCTCTCACTAGTGTTTTTATTTCCAGTGTAAGTTTTTCTATCTTGGACTTTCAGCCAAGATAGTTCACTGGCATCAGCCATGTTGTAATTTCTTTATACACTATGATTGTTGCCTATGACTAAATACACTGAACTGCTTAAATTTCTCATTGCGAGGTGTGGTTTTTTCAGTCTCTTCCCAGTTACTAACATCCATTGTAAAGCTTACGCACTAGTGATAGACATGTTATTGCAGTAGTGATTTCACCAATGTCTGCCGAAACTGAATATCACGTTTAAACAGTCTTTCCGAAATAAGTGACCTAAATGACCCTGGTTCAGTTAGAACAATATTGAACTCTTACTTTCATTCTGCACTATGAGTTTCAGATGAGCCATATAGGATAAATGTGAAGGAAAGCTAATGGTCATGTGTGACAGGGTGCAAAAGCCCTGTGCTGGATAGGTAGATGTTAGAGTTACTTTGAATTCAAACAGCCCCATCCCACCATACCTGCAAAGCCTGTATCTGCTGGAGGAGAAGCTTAAAAAGAGAACAGAACAGTCTATTACAGGCCCATCAACAGCAATTCTGGGCCCTGAGGCAGAATAGTCAATGGGCCCTCATGTGCGCACCCTGCACCTCTGTGGAAGCTGTCTGCCTGACATTTGGGCTGTGCTGTGACTTTACTGGCTGTTGCCAAGCAAGCTGCAGTGCTAGGCATGCTCTTCTGACACAGATAGGGCTTCCACATGCTTGCCTGGTAAGATTACTAATGATCTAAGAGCACAAACCCAAAGACCCCAGCCTTACCTCTGCCCTAGGGCCAAGTCCCTGTCCCAGTGTTCAGAAAAAATAGCAAATAGGGTTGCCAGGTGTCCGGTATTCACCCGGACAGTCCAGTATTTTTGCCTCCTGTCCGGTAAAAAAAATTCAGAGAATACCTGACACCTGAGATGTCTGGTATTCTCTGAATTTTTCCCCGGCCAGGAGGAGAAAATGCTGGGCACCTGGCAACCCTACAAACACTCAGCGCCTGGCCTCCTCCCTCCCACCCCTGAGCCCTCCCTGGCCCCTGACACTCCCAGCCTCCTGACCCCAGCCCCCATGCTTATCTGGTTCCCCAAGGCTGCTGGCACAAAATGGCTGCCTGCCAAAAGATCTAGGGTCTTAGTGCTCAACCACTCCCCTGTTCCTATCCCTGCACTCACTCTTAAAGGGTGTTCGGTATTTTTGTTTCAACCATCTGGCAACCCTAATAGCAAATAGGGCAGGTGATCTGCTTGGCTTAACAGAGAACTCTTTGGTGAGTTTAAACGCAAAAAGGAAGCTTACAAGAAGTGGAAACTTGGACAGATGACTAATGACTAGGGAAGAGTATAAAAACATTGCTCAAGCAGTCGGGGTATAACCAGGAAGGCCAAAGCACACCTGGAGTTGCAGCTGGCAAGCAATGTGAAGGGTTTCTACAGGTCTGTTTGCAACAAGAAGGGGTCAGGAAAAGTGTGTGACTTACTGAATGGGGAAATCAACCTAATGACAGATGATGTGGAAAAAGTTGAGCTACTCAATGCTTTCTTCTGCCTTGATCTTTGCACAGTCAGCTCTAAAACTACTGCACTGAGCAGCCCTCGGTAGTGAAAGGACAGGTTAAAGACTAGTTAGAAAAGCTGGACATGCACAAGTCCATAGGGCTGGATCTAATGCATCCAAGGGTGCTGAGAGAGTTGGCTGATGTGATGGGAGAGCTATTTTGAAAACTTTTGGCAACTAGGAGAGGTCTAGATGACTGGAAAAAGACAAATCTGATGCTCATCTTCAAAAAGGGAAAGGAGGAGAATTCAGGGAATTATAGACCAGTCAGTCTCCCCTCAGTCCCAGGAAAAATCATGGAGCAGGTCACCAAGGAGTCAGTTTTGAAACACTTGGAGGAGAGGAAGGTGATCAGGAACATCCAACATGGATTCACCAAAGGCAAGTCATGCCTGGCCAAACTAATTGCCCTCTATGATGAAATAACTGGCTCCATGAATATGAGGAAAGCTGTGGACATGATCTACCTTGTCTTTAGCAAAGCTTTTGATATGGTCTCCCATAGTATTCATGCCAGCAAGTTATAGAAGTATGGCCTGGATAAATGGACTGCAAGGTGGACAGAAAGCTGGCTTGATCATCAGGCTCAATGGGTAGCAATCAACAGCATAATGTTTAGTTGGCAGCCAGTATCAAGCAAAGTACTCAAAAAGCCAGTGCAGAGGCTAGTTTTGATCAGTGTCTTCATTAATGATCTGGGTTATGGGAGGGACTGCACCCTTATCAAGTTCGCAGATGACACTAAGCAGGGGGGAGAGGTGGATGAACTGGAGGGTAGAGATAGGGTCCAGAAAAACTGGAGAACTGGGCCAAAAGAAATCTAATGGGGTTCAAAAATGACAAGGGAGAGTACTACATTTGGGATGGAAGAATTCCAAGCTGATCTGGGTTATGGGAGGGACTGCACCCTTATCAAGTTCGCAGATGACACTAAGCAGGGGGGAGAGGTGGATGAACTGGAGGGTAGAGATAGGGTCCAGAAAAACTGGAGAACTGGGCCAAAAGAAATCTAATGGGGTTCAAAAATGACAAGGGAGAGTACTACATTTGGGATGGAAGAATTCCAAGCACTGCTACAGGCTGGGGACTGACTGGCTAGGCAGCAGTTGTGAAAAAAAGACCTGGGGATTATAGTAGATGAGAAGCTGGATATGTTGCAATAGAGTGCTATTGTTGCCAAGAAGGCTAACTACCTGAAGGCGTGGGAGTCCAAAGAGGATGGAGCCAAGCTATTCTCTGTGATGGCAGATGATAGAGCAAGGAGCAATGGTCTCAAGTTGCAGTGTGGGAGGTCTAGGTTGTATATTAGGAAAAACTATTTCACTAGGAAGGTCGTGAATCACTGGAAAGGGTTGCCTAGGAAGGAGGTGGAATCTCCATCCTTGGAGATTTTTAAGGAGAGACTTGACAAAAATCTGGCTGGAATGATTAAGCAGGGGGCTGGAGTAGATTGTCTACTGAGGTCTCTTTCAATCCTAATCTTCTATAAGGCCGAGTCCTACACCTCCAAGATTCCCCTGACTCACTCCATCACCACTCCCTCCATTGCTTGATTTTCCCCTCTCCACTCACTTTCACCTGGCTGGGGAAGGACTTGGGATACAGAAGGGGATGCAGACTCTTGGAGGGAGTTTGGGTGTGGAGAGGGCTCTGGGCTGAGCCTGGGGCAGGCGGGTTTGTGTGCAGGATGTGGACAGGGGCTTGGAGTGAAAGTGGCAGTCAGGGAGCTGTACTTGCCTCAGGCAGATCACAAAAGCGACCAGCACACTCCTGTGGCAGGAGCTTCTATACAGGGGTAGGGGGAGGGGAGTCAGGAGGTCTCCATATGTGAGCATCACCCCTGCAGCTCCCAGTGGCTGCAGTTCTTGGCCAATGGTTGCTGCAGAGTTAGTACTCAGGGCAGAAGCTGTATGCAAAGACCTGGCCTCAGGGAAGGGGGTTGACTGCTTCTGAGAGTGACATGGAGTGAGGGTGAACAGGAAGCCTGCCTTAGCCTGTTACACTGCTGGCGATGGCAGTCAGGGCACCCAAGCCCTTTTACATTGGGCAGGCCCCTGCCAATCCCCTCCCCATCCCATGCCCCTGTCTTAGGGTCTGGTCTCGTATTAGGCTGTCAGTGGAGGTGAATAGACTTATACGCTCTCAGACAGAGAAAGTCCAGCTCCCTGGGGTCTCTGTTATTGGGACTCTACTAGAAACAAGGACTGAGGACAATGAGAAAGTCTGAGTCTTAGCCTGTATTTATTTTGTTTAATGTTGCCACTTTGCCCTCTGATAGAAGGGGACTGGTAGGAAGCAATCCAGGGAAGCAGCAGTACAGCACCTTTTGAAGAATGGTCTTTTGCTGCCTACCATGGGGTTCTGGATTGGAACCCAGTGGACAGGGTGGACCTGAGTTCCCTTGCCAATTCCAACACAGGGCAGGAGATGGAAAAAGTACCCATATAATGGGGAAATCTAGACAAGAAAAGGCCCAGAAGCCATGAGAGTTAAAATCTGAGACCTCATCCTAACGGAGGGCCTCCTGCCTGATTATAATGCTATTCTTTTCTAGGCTCCTTATTTACCCTTGGAAGGGGTGAACATGAAAACATGATCTGGCTGGATGGTTAAGTCATGAGAGGGTGCGGACCATCGCACAGCTAGAATGACTGTTGACAGGGTTGCCAGGAAAGAAGAGAGCCTACTATGCCCACACCCATCCCCACAGGCACCTGTGGTGAGTGAACTCCTTCACATCATGAAATAATTTAAAAAATAAAAACCCAAATGAAAAACTGTGATGATTACTTACAATGAAGGGTAATTATTGATAGACTTTGGAAATATTTGAAGGGAATCGGATCAGTCCCAAGATTATGATCAGGATCACCTGAAAAAAACAAAGACAGACATTGTTGAGATGATTGTTGAATATTAGGAACAAAACAAACTAAGTGGGGTAGTTTCCCAAGCTGAGTTCTCTTTCCATAAGATCATGGTTCTTTCTTGGAAAACTCTTTTGAAATGCAATTAGGGGTGGGTTATAACATTGTAATTAACTCATGTCATCACTGTTTATAACATGAAATTATTTTTAAATGGCTACTCCTGCTTTTCTGCCTCTGTACTAGTCCTGGGAAGTGATTGATGTGGCAGTTTCCCGTGATCACCAGCCTATTGTTGCCGTGTCAATCTTCTGGCTATATAAATCACTGTAGTTAATGAAGGTCACTTCATGGCAGAATTCACTTCATCCAGCAAAAGTAAATAAAGCATCTCACTACTCTCCCAATGAGTAGAGGTGCTTACATTGGAGCAGAACTGAGCGTGTAAATATACACTGCCTTGAAAATAATGGGAATAGCCAACTGGACTGCATCCATGTGAATGCATCAGAAAGAAATGGTAACATTCCATTGTTTCACTTGTGCCTGGGTCTTTAATGATTGCCTGATATGCTGAGGGGAAAAGTAATCACAATATACAGTTATTAGGAACAACTTCACATGTGGAGAGCAATTATAGGATGGAATAACATTGGCTTAATGGTAATAGGCCACAGCCAAGAGGTCTGATTAGCAGTGAGCTAATGGGCAAAGTCCTATCTAGATGAGAAATAGAACCAGCATTTCAGCCTGGCCTCCATATTTGTCAAAAATACAAACAATTTTATTCACAGGTGCCCCCATATTTTGTGCAATGATTTAGGTCACTTAGATGCCCAAGTCTCTGGTTGCACCTGCACATAGACCTCTCTAGTAACTTAAATTCCAAGTACAAATAAAAGAGGGTGCAAATCTGTGCCTATAATTATTTTCACTCACAAAACTGGAGGTCTGTCTCTGAAAGTCTGTCCTGTAAAGTTTAAGAAACTAGTTGCTTTTCCATACAGATGATTTAGGTTTCCCTAGTACAAATAATATATAACCTCTCCTCTGCCATCATCATATGGCATAGTATGTCAACCGTTACAACTCCAGATTGAGAAAGTGTAATGTGTTCCCCATTGCATGTTTCTGATTTGGCTTATGTTCCTTCTCAGCCTCCAGAGGTCCAGAATTCTACAGCAAAATGACTCTCACTCTGGAAAATAGGACTACAGCATTGGCATCCTCCAGTATCCTTAAGTGCCTGGCTTTTCACCTCTGAAACCAATTCAAAATGTTTCAGAGCACTTCATGGACTTATTCCAACCCACATCTCTGACTTCATATCCTCCCATTCCTGCATGTTTTATATTTCATTTTGGCTCTTCTCCTTGCTCTTCTCATGACTTTTGTTAGGGCGACACAAGTAAGAGAGCTATCTGACAGAATGGACATTACTTATATAAAATGTGGAGGACAGTTGAAACATTTTGTGCCATGTTTATACTAGTATTTCTGAATATGTCATTCTGTGAGCTTACATTCCAGAACTCAGAATGAGGCCATGGGCATACTCAATGTTGTTGCAAAGCCAGTTTCACCTGTACAGTTTCCAGACTTCACAGTAACAATGTGGTATATTATTTTTGTCTCGTCCAAAGTAGCAAGTTTCAGTTTTACATTTGCTATAATGAACAATTTAAATACACTTTTTCCTTTAAAATATATTCTTCAAGCTTGGCTTGCTCCTTAGATCTCTGTGACAGCTGACAAACGGAGACAGTTTAAAGAAAATGACTTGTTTTTTTCTAGTTAGAGTTTCATAGAATATGTGACTGAAACTCATGGAGAAAGTATTTAGTGAGGGGGATTTTTATTTGAATTTCTGGACTATGCTCTAGCACAGAAAATGATAGCTGAAGCAGTTTGTTTCAGAAGGCTATGAATAACTGAAAAGGGCTGTAACGAATGGTGATATTCATCTTTAACTATAGGTTTTTTTGTGTAATGTCAATGTATATACTATCTGTCTGCATGTCTAGCGACATAACAGACTCCAGCACTGTAAACAAGATTGCACAGTCAAACTAATTCTTTTGGAAATATAGCACTTAGCATTCAGATGCCATAAAGCTATTGTGTGAACAGCTTACACTATATACTGTACTTCGTGTCAATTTGAGAGAGAGCTTGTACACGTTGAACCTCTGTAGTCTGGAACCCTTGGGACCTCACCTGTGCTGAACTAGAGAATATGCCAAACCATGGGAGGTCAATGTTGTGTAGCAGCATTTCCCACACTTCCACTGCTTATTGGGCTCTTAGAAGACATTTAGGGGTAAATTAGAGCTAAATTAACAGCACAGAACACGAGAGCCAGGACTGCCAATCTTTATGGGACCATGGGAAACTTGGCCACGTCCATGATAAGTGGACATCTGACTAACTAAAATCATGCTGGACCACAGCTGTTGTTGGATCAGAGAGTGGTGGACTAGAGAGGTTCACCCTGTAATACACTCACATTGCTTCATGGTCTAGGGTCAGTTTTTGAAGGGATCTCATTTGACACAAGGACATTTTATGATCTAGACTCTGTTTAAGGCATCATGAAAGCCTTTATTCCCTTTCTCCACATCTAGACTTCAGGCTGCTTTCGGAAGAAGCTTTTTTTCGGAAGAGATCTTCCGAAAAAACCTCTTCCTAAAGAGAGCATCCGCACACACAAGCGCATCGAAAAAGCGATCTGCTTTTCCAAAAGAGCATCCAGGCTGATTGGATGATCTCTTGTATAAGAGGCCACCCGGAACCACTTCAGCCAGGGCTTTAGGTCACCAGTTGCTTCCGAGTGCTGGTGCCAGAGCCTTGCAGAGATACGCACTTAAAGGGACCCCCTTGAACAGCCATTTCTCTGCTTCTGCTGCATGCTTGCTACCTCTTCAAGGGACAGCAAAGCTCTTGTAGTGCATACTGTGGTTGCCCTGCTTTTTTGGATGCCACATTTCTCTTGGTGCAATGGAGCCGGAGCTGCTCCTGGACATGTGATGGCTCCACACAACCATGATGCAATTTTTGCAGCACTGTGTGCCAGCTGCCTTCCTGGTCCTGACCGTGCTTGACCCTGAGCTCATTCTGGGGATGCTCTCCCTAGGTGTGGGAGCTACACTCTGGCAACCGCACCCCACAGTGGAGAGGTGTTTCTGGAGGCTCAACAGCAGTTCAGACTGGTGGGACCTGGCTGGTTGTGGAGCGGTGGGATGACCAGCAGTGACTCCAAAACTTCCGCATGCAGAAGGCCACCTTTTTGGAGCTGTGTGCCTGGCTCGCCCCTGCCCTCCGGAGACATGACCCACCGGTGGCCCGCCATTCCCCCTGGAGAAGAGGGTCACAATCGCCATCTGGAAACTTGCCACCCCAGACAGCTACCAGTCGGTGGGCAACCAGTTTGGCGTGGGAAAGTCCACCTTTGGGGCCCTTTTCTTGGAGGTAAGGCACCCCGGGGCTGCAGTCCCTGCAGGGGGGAGGGAAGTCCTGGAAAGGGGAACCCTAGGGAAAGGAGGGTTGGAGGCTGTGTGTGTGTGTGGGGGGGGTGGAGTGGGGCATGGGAGAGAAGCCCCATCCCTATTCCTGGGGGTGGTGCAATCCTGCCCTCACACAGTCCTGTTACTGGCGTGTGTGTGTGGCTCTTGGGGTGTTTGGGGGTGGAGGGGGAGGGTGGGCACCTCCCAAGGGCTCAGGCACTCCCTTTCTCATTCTCTGTTTGTTTTGTGTGTGTGTTTGTCTCCTTCTGCAGGTTGTGAGAACCGGGCCAGGTTCCAGATCGAGTGTGCCTTTCGGTGCCTCAAGGTACAGTTCAGTGTCTGCTGACTCGCCTCAGTTGTAGGGGAGCACAACATCCCCGAGGGGATCGCGGCATGTTATGTCCTCCACAACATTGTGGAGAGGAAGGGGGAGGCCTTCCTCCCAGGGTGAGGAGCAGACAACAGCCTCAAGGAGTGAGCCTTTGAGCTGCGGAGAGCTGCCGTCCACCAGGCCCATGAGGCCAGGGTGCATATCCGGGAGGCTCTGAGGGAAAGGTTCTCTCCAGAACCCCAATAACTCTCCCCAGGGCCTCCCCAACAGGGACCTCTGGCTTGCTGCCCCATCCCTTTCCCAACACAACCCCTCCCTTTACCCCTTCCCTGACCTCTCAGTAAAAACACCTGTTTGGTTTCCAACAAAATGAAGTCTGTATTTATCTTACATTAAAAAAAGGTGAATGGGGGGAGGAGTCTTGGAGTGGTGTGGGGAGCGGCTAGATGTGCCACCTTGGGTGCAGGGGCCTCGTTGGGATTGGGTGGGTCCGGGACCACAGAAAGATGGACAGGAGGGGGGGCTGGAGCTGTGTGGACAGGAGGGGGGGAACCCTGTGTGTGTGACAAACTGGGAGCAGTCACCTGAAGATCCCTCCCCAATGTCAGAGGAGGCCTGGAAGACATCCTGGCTGACAGACACCAGCTCCAGGGACAGGGTGATGGTGTCCATCTCCTCCTCCTGCTGGCTTTGGTCATTTTCCTCCTCTGCCGTGACCTCCAGCTGGGCGACGTCGGGGGTCTCGAGGCCAGAATCCACGATGACAGGTTGGGAAGATGTTTCCCCACCTCCCAGGATCTGGTGGAGCTCCTGGTAATAGGGGTAATAGGTTGGGTCCTGCCCCTGAGTGCAAGCTGCGCTCTCTGGCCCTGATGTATCCCTAGCGGAGCTCCTTTATCTTACTCCAGACCTGTTCCAAGGTTCGGGGTGGGTGTCCGTGCTCCGCCAGGGACTCCTCCATGTGCTCAAAGATGTCTGCCTTGCGGCATTTGGAGCGGAGGTCCTGCAATGTCTCCTCCCCACCCCACAGCTCGAGGAGGGACAGGATCTCCACTCTGGACCAGGAGGGTGCCTCCCTCTTGGTTCCCCTTGGTGGGTCCTAGGACCTCTGGGGCTGCTCCCTGCAAGGGCCAGAAGGGTCGCGGAGGGCTTGTGGCTCCACCATGGGTGGCAAGGCTTGTGGCAGGGGGAGCTGCGCAGTCAGGGTGCTGCTCTCAGGCCGGCTTCATGCCACAAGGTTTGTCCGGGGTGCCTGCAGCTTTAAGAGCTGGCAGGAGACAGGAATGATACGTTTATGATTAGTATGGATGGAGCGTCCACCAGGACACCTGTGTTATTTCCTGGAGGCCTCTTCTTTCGAAAGAAAATCCTCCTCTCCATCCACACACGTTTTTCCAAAAGAACTCTTTCAGAAAAAGGCTTCTTCCTCGTAGAAAGAGGAAAAACCCCTCTGTTCTTTCAATTTACTTTCGAAAAAACATGATTGCAGTGTGGATGTAACACAGGTTTTGGCAGAAAAACTGCTGTTTTTCCAACAAAACTCTGTAGTGTAGACATGCCCTGAGACTAGAATAGATCCCCCAAAAGAGGGTTTCTATCCTGACAAGACTATGAGTGATAGTTTGATCCGGTTGAAGTCAATTGCAGAATTCCCCTGGACTTCAGTGGGGATAGGATTGCACCTTAGACTGTGTTGCCTTGACTCAAAAGGAAATTTAAGTCTGAGCCAAATCTTCTTGTAGTCAATAGAAAGACGCTTTGGAAAGTGGGCTTTGGACTGGCGATGAGTGAGGCTGTTCAGTCTACTGCAACCTGAGGCTATTCAGTCCCCTCCAGCATTTACAGGAATATTGCATTCATACTTTTCTTTCTTTGAAAAATAAGTCTGCTCCGAATCAGCAAAAGTTCTACATTTCTTTTCATGAAGTATTTAGATGTGTTGGCAACCTCTTTTATTCATGTCCCTTCTATATTACTATTTTGAATTGTGTGGTTAATTTTGAATCTTTACACAATCAAATCAACAATGAACAATAATTGGGAGATGTATATCCTGGTTTGTATATTCTAGTCCAACGTATCTTGATTTCAGTACACTTATACTTGCTCTTTTCAGCAGAAAAGTACAAAAGAGAAGTGGGCAGATTATATTTGAAATCTGGTTCGGATTCTGATCTGTATCTTTTTTAAATGCTGAGATTCTGATGAAAGTTTCAAAATATTAGTAATGCAGAAAAGTTACTTAGATATTCCCTTTATACTTTTAATCTCCCCTATTGCAGTTTTAAATTATTTTCTAAAACAAGTAGAGACAAATTCTGCTCCTAGTTGCACTAATGTAAATTCAGAGTGATTTTACTGAAGTTAGCAATTACTCTGAATTCACCTCAGTGTTAACAAGTGCAGAATTTGGCCAATTTCTTTCTCAACTCAATACTTTCTCATACCCTCAAGCAAAAAGTTCAATTAATAGAACTGACCAGAAGATGACAATTTGATTTTGTGGCAGATATTGTGGTTTTGAAATTTTGTTTTGTTTTTACATGGAACAAAATCAAAATCTGGGAATGTTTCCATGAAATGGAATTGTTTCAGAATGTCTGGTTTTGAATGGAAAAGGTCAGGTTTTCGATTAGTCTGTCTCTCTCTGATGAGAAGTGACCAGAGAGCCCGTCCTGGATCTCAAAAACCTTCCTGTTGAAAACTTTGAAGAAATGGATACATCTCAGCCAAATGTTTCAGCTTTCACAAAAATACATTTAATTGAAAAGAGTTTTGACACTTTTTAAAATGATTAGTTTAAAGTTGCTGAAGTGTATTCCCCACTGATGTACTCAGTAAAAATCAAAGAATTCACCGGCAAAGACGAGTTTCATTCTCATGTCTTAAAACCCAAACATACTCGGACTCCTCACCTCCACAAGAGACTCCCTTGCATTTCTAGCATGTAACTAATCACAGTGCACACACCCACTTTCTCCAACTCATGCTGAAAAGCACAAACCTACCTTGGATCAGAGCTAGACGAAGACGTGCTTTCTGCAGACAGATGTGGACTTTTAAAGTATGTAACATGCTATATTTACACAAGAGATCAGTTAAAGCTGTGCATTTCAGTGTGGTTTAGAGAAGTGCTGGGCTGTGCAGGGGGGCAGGAGAGGAAGTCAAGCATGGTGCTCTACCACCCACTATGTCCTCATTGAAGTACAGGCGACCCCCACATTTACGACCTAATTGGTTCCTGGAGAACCGTTGTAAGTCAAGCTGTCATAAGATGAACCCTTATTTCCCATAGGCGCAATGTTATAAATGGCGGTTCCATTCCTGGAAACCCATTTCATACCCTAAAAATACCAAAATTGACTACGGAAATGGAAAAACTAAACTAAATAGTTCAAATA